CCACTGGACCTTCAGGTGAAGACCAGATCTACAGGATCTCTGCTCCAACAGACCCATCAGTCCAGGAGTTTTGCAGCCACCATTTAATGGGACTGCTACCAGCACCCTGACTGACAGGCTGTCAGGTTGCTTTCTGACTCTGTCAGTGTTTTCTTTTTGTACTGTTGCATTTGTTGTTTTGTTTTTCCTGTTAAATTGTATTTCTGACTAGCAGTCTCTCACTGGTTTGCTTTCAAACCAGCACACCTGGTCATCTGCCTAGTATGACCATTTGTAGGGTTTGAAAGTTGTTTGCTCCTAGAGCATCTTATCTTACTCTCACTGGTTTCAAACCAGCACACCTGGTCATCTGCCTAGTATGACCATTTGTAGGGTTTGAAAGTTGTTTGCTCCTAGAGCATCTTATCTTAGAGTCCTGCTTCCTGCTTCTACAAGCAGCCGTGTTATCATTCCCATTAATCACAAATAATAGGTTAATAAATAACCACTCAAACTGAATAATACATAGTTAATACTGTTGGGGTTATTTCAGCAACAATTCACCATACCACTTTTCTCTCATGAAGTTTTTTATTTCTAAATGTGTTTCCAACCTTTCTTGTTTGATCTTGTGTTTGTGTTGTCCTCTGGTTTGGGCAATTCTCCCTATGTGTTTCTTCCCAGGTTCTGCTCAGTCACTATTGGGTGAGTATGCTCACTCCTAGCTCTACAATCCCATAATCATTTTCAGGACTTATTGGCTTTACTTGGTTCCTGAATAAATGCCTCTTTCTCGCTCTCTGTTATATCCCATCCTTTTGGAAAGGTATGACTCTCAGTATGCCATAGTACTTTTCCCTTTCACCCTGGTCCAGAAGCTGTTCTCAGTCAGATGAAAGATTGTAGTGGGTGCACTAAGAAGAATCTTTCCTCACTCCCTTGCCCTATCTGAATCCAAAAAGCGACAACTGTCAGATTATTTTATCAGTGGGTTTGCAGAATCATAAGAGATTGAAACTCTACTGAAACATCTGTTTCCTGACAGGTTGGGGTTTTTATTCCTGAAGTGAAACTCCCAGAAAATGGTTTTGTGTCCTTAACAGTAAGAATTCAACAGGGTGAAGATCAGGCTGACTGCTAAGTGTGAAAGTTATAATGTTTTTTTGTGAAGGCACAATGCAGCCACCTGTGTACTATTACAGTGTGGAAATTAGTCATTTGTCTGGTATAGCTTTTGGTCTGACAAATTCTGGAGGTAATAAAGCAATCCTCATTTTTGTGGGTGTTTTAAGTCAACTTCCCTTCTCTCTCCACCCACAAATGCCATGCACATGCCTCTCTTAACCATGCTGGGTTTTGTACTTTTGGCTGAACTTGCTCATATCAACTTGTAGAGAATTTTTCCCCCTCTTATATATTATTTCTCAGGGAGAAATTCAGTTACCCTTTGTACTTCCTCTTCTGTGGTTCTATACATTCAAGTTATAGCCCCAAATCTGGTATTGGTTTTAATCCTTATATTCTTTTAATTCTTGATTTCTAGTATGAAGGATTGCAAATTGGCCCCTTTTCATGGCTGTGTTTCTTCTGCAAACCAGGAAAAAATGCAGGTGATGGTTAAATCCAAGCAGTTTGATTTTTATGTCAGTGTACAGTCCTTTTTACTTGAAGAGAACCCCTTTTCAAAGGCCTAGCTAAGTAGGGTACAGCTGAGTAGATTTTTTTGGTATCCAGACAGGATTAAAATGAAGCCAGGTCCTCGAACACGTGCTCGTAGTTGTAGCAAGATCATGCCATGTCTTCTGACTGGGAAGTGTTCCTTTTGCAGAGAAACTCCTGTTTCTTCTCTTGCTCCTCTTGGTGGAGAGGAAAATAACCTTAAAACAAATCCTGTCAGGAGAGCTAGGAAACTCCTTAAGATTTGCCAGTTGTTGAAATGCAACTTAGTTTCATGCTTTTACTTACTGCCTCCTACCATCTTGCCCTGAGCAGTGGAATGATTTGCTTCACCATAATTAAAAGTCACACAGATTTCATACCACACAGCTGTCGTCATGGCTCTCCTTAGGTCAGTGGTGTAGCATGATTGATGTTGAACCTGCTGCACTTCCATCTGGCCACCTTTTCTTCTGTGGTGTTTCTAGTGCTTTTGCTGTTGGTTTTTTGTTTCCCACCTCCTGTTATAGGAGGGTGCTGAAACCTCTGCAGGTCAAGAGGCCCAGGAGGTACACCACTCCTCTAGATCTGTCATAGTTCAGCACTAGCTAGTCTATTGAAAAACAGGCTTCCAAGTATCAGGGGAAAAGTTGCTGAATTGGCTCAGAGCTCACCACCAACATTAGAGTTTGTCAGTGTCCTTCTTATTTAGAACGATGTTTTCTTTTACTATATATGTTTGGGGTTTTTTAAAGATCAGCTTAACCTGAAGCCTGGAAGCAGGTTCATGAGTGCACCTTCTACACTTGCAGAACACCACTGCAATGCTTGCAGTGTTGGCAGTGGCCATAGAAACTGGGAGAGAGCTGAGACCCACTGAAGCAAGGGAATAGCCTTGGTGTAGTGATCTCCAGCAGGGCTGGGAGCATCTGCTGAACTTGGCCTTTGGGAGTTTAAAGGAGAGACATCTCTTGTGCTGGATAACAGCAATAAGTGTAGTTGTCAGGCCCTTTGCAATTAAATGCAAATCTCATGGGTAGTAAACACACAGTGTGTTTTCCCATAATGTGCAACAGCACTGTGAAGAGCTTGTCATAGAGAATTCTCTCTCCCCTGGGGAGGTGGTATGTGTGCTGAAGGATGAGGGTGAGGTACTTGGCTGAACATTTCTGCCCAACAGGATGGCCTAAAGAGTTTACGAGCACTGAGAATTATGTGCAATGAAAAAGTGAGGTTCTTGGCTGAACATTTCTGCCCAGCAGGATGGCCTAAAGAGTTTATGAGCACTGAGAATTATGTGCAATGAAAATTAGTTATCATTCATGTGTTCCTGATCGTTGTAAGGGCATGAAGAGTTTAGCTTAAAGAGCAAAGAATCCCAAAGCAGCATGTTCACCTATTTGCCCTGTTTTTTTATGAATTGCAAGAGAACGTGGAGAATAAATGGGTGGCTGAGGCCCTCTGGTGCCACCAGAGCCAACTGCACTCCTCTGCCAGGCGGCCACAAAAGTGCACTGCGCATTCGCTTATGTTTCTTTAATATGCTGTATTTGCTTTTATATTTTAATACAAACAAACCCTTTTTAGGCTGAAATACTTCGTGATGTACTGATTGTTCACATGCAGTTGTTTCCGTACTGGAAACATGAATGCTCCATCATTTATTGTTCATGTCTTGTTTTGCAAAGCTGTGCAGAAACTGAGAGGGGATTCTGTTTGCAGCCCATTGTCGTTCCTATTTGCATTGCAGGCAAAAAGATAGGCAAGGAAGCTGAAGGTTTGTATGGTTGATTTTTTTACCCCATTTGTATCTCTTCTGAGAATGACTGGGTGGAAAAACTGCACCGCTGATGATCTCTCATGCTGTGGTGTTGTATTTAACTTGGGGATGAGAGGTATGGGGAAGAAGAGCTAGTGAGGGAGGAGCAAGATAGTTGTGGGGTTTTGTTTTGGTTTTGTGGTTATTAGTCATGAGTCTTTGGTCAAATTGGAAAGACCTTGTGAATCTCCCAAATGCTATGATCTAAGGTACAGCAGTGTGGACATATGTAAGAATATTTTGCCTTTGTGCTTAAAATTTGGCTTAAAAGTGTATATTCACAACTAGTGTAAATTCATACAGAGCTCTTCTAGCAAAAAGTTGTCCACAGAATAGCTCTACGTAGGGTGACTTAGTCGTGGCTCTTTAGTGCAATACAGAAATATTGATCTCTGACAGTTTGCTGGAAGTGTGGCTTTTGTCAAAATCTGGCTATTTACTCTTGTGACAAAGTTTTGTTGTTCCACCTGATATGAATATCAGCTAATTCATCTGAATCAAGAAATTAGTTTTGATGTTTAGTCAGCTAATTGGCTTGTCACTCTTGTCAGTCTGTAATGCTCCTCATTTTACTATGGCACAAATTGTTAGTAAGTAAGGGAAGGTGGTACATGCTATTGTATGTTATTCTTTTAACAAGGAAATTAATAAAAAAGGGATGTAAAGTTAGATCTACATAAGTAGATCTACTTTGGTTTTTGGACATTTTGTAAACCAGTGCCTTCAGAGAAGGGCATGAAATGTCTGAGGGGGAGTGGGCAGAATGAGAAGAGTGAAAGGTTAAATGAAATGTCTCCTTGTGACATGAGATCTGTGCCTTTTGTTCTTATTTTGGGTGCACTTTGGAAACTTAATACTGGTGGTCTCTGTACAAATTCCTAATCACTTGTTCACAGAAACTCCTCTTTAAGACTGTCAGTTCTTGTAGTAAATGGTAACTTCTGTCAAAATACATAGTAATACCAACATGTTTTGGATGGTAAACTTCATTGTTTCTTTCCAAAGATGGTAAGGTTGATAGTTCCAAGGTTGTATACCAAACTGTGCTGAATATGAAATTTTCTGCCATTTCTTTTGTTTATCATTTTAGATGTTGACCAAAGACTATAGGTGCGATCTGGCCAGGACTCTTATCTTCTAAATAAGCTCTAGTTAACATCTGAGTTTCAAAAACTTTGTTCAGCTGAACTTTTCTGTAAATAACATGAACAGACTGTAGAAGAGCAAATAAAAATAAAGGAGGGTTGAGATTTTTTTCTCCCCCACAGTTAGTTGGGGCATTGAATAATAATTTCTGTTGCAAAGAGTGTTTTATACTTTGTCAGCATTTTCTGCTGTTCTTAAGGACCATTTGAGGGTGAAGAAACCTAATGGTGGGATTTTGAGGAGCTGTGTATGGCACTGAACATATTCAGTGCTGATCCCTTAAACTGTTCTGGAACTATACATGTCTCACTTGTGTTTGGAATAGCTGTGGAACACTACATTTTTACAGATTAAAAAGGGAAACATTCACTATAACATGTTGTGGTTTGGTTTTTTTCAGTTCTTCCAGGATCTTATGCATAGCATATGAGGTTTTGCAAGGTTTGCAATATATGAATAAACATGGAATGGTCCACCGAGCGCTCTCCCCTTGCAATATTCTTTTGGATCGAAAGGTACAGCTACAGGAATAAGTCTATGGTTTTGTTTGCTGCTAGCAAGTAACATGCTATGTCATATATATAGAGTGGGCAGTCACAGTCCTTCCCATGGGGAAAAAAATTGTTTATCTGGAAAGGTGTTGGTTTTGTTTCTTTATAAACTACAGTTTTCTCCCATTTCCTAAATTTTAAATGTATTTCAGAGCTTATTTTTCTATTTTCCCACTTTCCTCTGTCCCAAACCACATTTTTTCTCCCTTTTCTTCCAAGAGTGTTAATCTAAGTCTATTCGTCATTGTAATTAGGTACAAGACCTTCCTAGCTGTTTGAATAGGAAAATACTTCTTATGGCTAATTAGCTGTTAATAATATTTCCACTGTTTTGTCAGCATATTTCTTTGTTCATGTTTGGTTATTCAGATTTAAGTGTCTGTCAATTCTGTTGGTACAGACTGTTGAGTTGGCAGCGTGGAATACAGGTTCTGCTCACAGAAGTTGAGAGAAATTAATAACTACTGCTGTACTCAGAGCAGTTGCTTCATCTGAACTGACAGCTAAAGAGCATAACCTGTCTGTATATCCCCCCCCTTCCCCTTCTTCCTCAGTTTACTTAGAATAACTAGATCCTCCCCTTGGAAGGCAGAAAGAGGAAACAGAACAAAGGAAGGAATGAACATGTATTTCTTCATATGCCTGTAAACAAATGAAAATCATAATAATGCTCTACATGCAAAAGTACTCTAGGAATTTAAAATACTCCTAAATTAAATAAAAGAACAAAAGGGGGTCATGAGACCATAAACTTCTAAGCTCTGCCCTGCCCTTTGAATAGCTGGCTGATGTAGCTTTCTCTGCTGCACCATCTATCTGCAGGCTGGCTGAGTGTAATTCAAAATCCAACAGACATAAGACTTCAGTTTAACTTCTATGGCAATTTTTTGTTGTTCTAGTCTTAACTTTCTGCCTCCACAAATAAAACAAGCACCTGGAAAAACTGTTTGAAATGTGTGTTGATACAGTTAAGGAGAGCAAGATATTAATGAGTTAGTGGAAGGACTGGAGGAGCAAGGCTAGGTAAACAGAAGAGGTGAGGGAATAGTGGTCATGTTTAGGGAGTTCTAGGAGTCAAACAGGATTTTGAACGGTTTTCAAACAGGAAAAATGTTCAGTAGAGTATTTAATCCTTTTAATTTATTGCAAATACACTGTAACTTACAAAGTTCTGATATTCTTGTGTGTTCCAAACAGTGATTATTCAATGCTCTTGGAAAGTAAAGGCATTAGAAATAATCACCTTTTTAACTTGTAGTGAACTTCTGCATAACAAGTGAGACAGAAATGTAAGAGGGTGACTTCTTATAGTCATCTGTCCTCTGACAGCTAATGCAACTTGAAATGATCTTTGAATATTTTTTTGACTTAAAACAGATTCTTCCAATGTCATATTCTGCTGCTCTTGATCAGTTACTTTTTCCTTTTCAGGGGCATGTGAAGTTGGCTAAATTTGGACTCTACCATATGACTGCTCAAGGTGTTGATGTTGATTTTCCTATAGGGTAAGGTTGTAACTACACAATACAAATACATTCAAGATGTATTTTTTCAAATGTATTTAAAAATGCGTTGTATGCACAGGTTCTAGGTTGTTGTTTTAATTCAAATCTGTTGCATACACCCCTTACACAGAAGCTTCTGATAATGGCACTGCAGAGGTGGTCATCTGACTGGGCAAAATGCCTGAAAGGCAGAGAATGGGTACTGTGCTAGCACATTAGCCTAACTATGTGATGTCAGCCCTTATCACTTAGATTTGCCTTCAGACTGTAGTAGTTTCCTGTACCTCAGGTTCCTAATTTCAAATTTAGAAAAATGCATGATCAGTGCTTCACTATTGCACACCACTGTAGGCTTTTTGTCTCAATATAATTTTGTGATCTTACTGCCTGGCCAGAATGGTATGCTTTGTTGCAGAGTTTTTTGCCATTTTCTGGGCTTCTTTAGGTGTCCTGTTGTTTGCAATTGAATTACTGAACTGATTCTTAAAGACATGACCAAAAGAAGCAATGATGTTTCCTTTCAAAATGTGCTTGCAGATTTTTTAAGTATTAGAATGAATTGCTGACAGAAAAAAAAAGTGATAATATGATTTCAAAATTACCTAGCAGCAGGCAGGCTATGTCCTCAATACCTTTTATTACTTTTTTTGCAAATTCAAAAGTTATTTGATGGAAACAGTAACCATGGGAAAAGAATATTGCTGCTGCTCCCAAATATGAGTCTAGGATACACTTATTTCAGATACTAGTGCTGAAACTCAGTATGCATTTTCCCTGAGATACGTAGACATACTCTGTTGAAAGCTGCTATTTCCTCTCACAAAAGGAGAGTGAGTGAGATTTGACCTTTTATCTAGTAAACACTATGTATTTTGCAAATGGAGTGAAACTTTGCTGCAATGTGTCAATTTTGACCAAACAGAATAGAACAGTCTGCACTGATATGTATTCTGGATTCTCAGAATGCAAAGTTATGATATAACTGAAAGGCACACTTTTTAGACAGACAGGATGAAACTTAATGTTACTGCATCTTTCTAGGTACCCATCATATCTGGCACCTGAAGTGATTGCACAGGGAATAGTCAAGCCAAGTGATCATACTCAGTGTGAGAAGCCTCTGCCTTCTGGCCCTAAATCAGATCTGTGGTCTCTTGGCATAATATTATTTGAGCTTTGCATGGTATGTAAGAGAATAATTCTGTTGATTTTGACTCTTGGGGAACAGTTTCATTAACTTGATTGTTCTTGAGCGTGGATTTAATGACACTTTGCCCCACCACCCAAGTCCAAATATCAGAATATGTTAGCATTTCTATTTGGACAGTATTGGTGGTTGTTCAAGTAGTAGCATGCATATTGGCTTGGTTTGAGTGTGTGTTAACCATGAAGGACAGCTGCTGTTGGGGCCACAAGCATGTGACTCTAAGGCTGTTCCAGTTAAGAGAGTTCATCAGTGCTATGTTTTTTGTTTGTGATGGTGTTTCTGCTATATTTGTGATGGTGTTTATGCTATATGTGGGGTAAATAGTGCTTTCTGTTCTTGCCAATGGTTTTGCTACATTTAAAATTCACATGTAGAAGCTTATTTTACTGTCTTTGTATATAGTTGTGTGTGTATGTTTTCTAAATATTTTCATGCAGTAGCCTTCAACTGTTGATTTGATTTTGTTACTTGTTTAGGGGAGAAAATTATTTCAGAGTTTGGAGATTGCAGAAAGATTGAAATTTATACTTATGTTAGGTAAGTAGCACAAAATCAATTTTTCAAATTTCCAGGCAGTTCTATGATTAGAGCTTTACAGATTAATCAGCTTGTGCTGCTCAGACCTAAAGCACTTTACCTTTGTCATCGTTCATCTCCAGAATTAAACAGGAATTTGAAGCATGGTTGCAGGTATCTTTAAGTTCTTTCAGGGATTTTTTTTATTTTTTATTTATTTAAAAGTAGAAAGACTGCTTTAATTTATTTGGCAGAGACTGACACTCTGCATCTACTAAGCCTGCAAAAAGATTTTCACTGTTAGCTTAGGTGTGCTACTTAACTTTACTAGGCTTCAATTTTCTGCCTGCATAGGCAATAATAATTTTCATTTCTGATTTTCAGAATTCACTTTGAAGTGATGGGACTATGTCAGTAAAAAGACAAAATTAAGTGTTTTTTAAAGGAGTGGAGGTTTATCTGATATGCTATTTAATTGGTATCACTTTTCTAATAATTTTTACCTTTTTTTGTTCTGTTTGTTTTTCAAAGGCTGTGTAGATGATATTGTAACTGTATTGGCTGAAGAACATGGTTGCCTTGATATTATTAAGGTTTGTGAAACTAGTTTCTACTTCCATGCTGTCTTGTCCAGAACATTTTATTGTTGTTGCATAGTATTTAATGTATTTACTTTTTTAACTTATTTGGTCAGTTACTGTATTGCAGCATGACAACAAATTTTGGAGTCTAAACTACATATTTAAAATCCTTTCAAATAGCCAGTACTGGTAATATTCTTTTCTAAGATTACTGTCCATCTCAGTAAATTTTAATGCTCTCTGGCTAGTTTAATAAGTTATAGATCTTCTTTAATGTGTTGGTTGTTAAGTATTTTTCTGCTATAAATTTAGTCCTCTATCTGGTCTACTTTACACATTCTGATAGTTTAGGTTTATACAGTTCAGCACTTCTTATCCACAAAAATAATCACTGAATTTTAGTGTCTGTGTATTTTGAGACGTTATGTGAAAGGGTTCTGACCATTAGCAGAAGGAAATTCCCAGATACTGCGTTGTTTCAAGCTGGATACAGAATATCTACATTAAAAAATAAAAATCTGCATGCATTGCAAATATTTCAGATTTTTTTTCCCCTAAATCGAATGTTGGATTGGGAGGTGAGAAGAGTTACTTGCCCAGCATTTCAATCTTATACAGCTAACCTCATATGTGTAGGTGTGAAATCTTATTGCCCTCAAAGGAATAGCCTGTATGTTAAAGGTTAAGTATGAGCCAAGTGGCTTGCTGAATTAAGACAGTAATAAACAGACCTCCTCTATATTTTTCTGGCATTCCAGGACCTTCCCGAAAATATCATAGCTCTACTGAAGAAATGCCTTACGTTCCAGCCTTCTAAGAGGCAAGTATTCAGTCCAAGCACCTAAAAAACTCTGTGGGTACTATGAAATTAAAAGAACTGTTGCTGAACCTTTTTTAGAATACTGACATTTGGGCTGACTGTAAGAAATTCTCCATTTTGTTGCTTTTCAGTGTTTGAAGGAAAACAATTAGGGGGGTGGAACACAAGTCAACTGTGCAAAACCTTGAGATTGAATCTGAGAATTTTGAGGGGAAACTATTCAGGCATTTGTAGTTTGAAGTTCACAGCTTTTACTGATTCTGTGTCTGGAATGGTGGTTACCATCGCTCTGTTGTAGCCAGAATTAGGGCTGCTTTCTTCAAATCTCTCCTGTCCAAGTACTTTTTCAATATGTCTGTCCACTACAACTTTCTTCTGAAAATTAAAATATGCTTTTGTTCTTTAATCAAGGCTTTACGTTTTTATTTTTCACGTCTCTGCTTTGAGCAATTAAAGGGGAATTAATAAAATAGTTGCTAGTTACATTAAATAAAGGTGAGAACTGAACTTGGGCTGTAAACACACTGTATAGTTTGTTCATGAATTGAAAAACATTGGGACATTAAAATGTCTGAAATTGAATATATTTTAAAAGAACTTGCTAATATTTGTTACTGGGAACATTTCTTACTGAAGTGTTAGATTTTTGGAAGCACTTTGCTCTAAGTGTTTTAATCTCTTAATTCAAGGCCAACTGCAGAGGAATTGCTGCATGACAGTTTGTTCAGTGAAGTATCCTCACTATATCCTCCCTTCCACAAATCTGCTGGTCTGTTCTCATCTTCTCCAAGGTGTGCTAATTTAACGCTTCCTGAAGACATAAATCAATTATGTAAAGGTAAAAGCAGGTGGTGGGATACATGTTATTGGAGGGGGAACAAAAATAAAATGTTATTACATTTTCTCTTGCAACAAGTTCTTCAAACTATTAAAATTTGCTACAATAATGTAGTAAGTTGTTTAATGGACTGAGATAGAGGCAAACATGTTTTAAGGGATGTGTGGAAGTCAAAGGAAGACAATTTGATTTTTGTGCTTCAGCCTCAGGGAATAAATATTTAACATTAGTATTCAGGTCTATGTTGCAATAACAGTATCATTTTTTGCCTTTAGAATTTGGACATGTGCATTTACAAGTCCTTTTTTCCCCACTAAGTTCTGTTGTGCTGGATCATAGCATTAAATGATTTTTGGAAGTATTAGAAAATGAAATCATTGTGAAAGAGGTCACATTCTAGGAAAAAAACCATTATACTTCTAAGTATTAAACTACAGTTTGTTGAAAGTGTTAATCACTCTTAAGTCCTCATTAACTTTATTTTATGAACTTGGAGATTTCTACATGTTTAGAAATTCTCATTAGACAATTTTTGGAGACAAAAATTATGCCTTATTAGAATGAGTATAGTATGCGAAGAGAAGAGAGGTTTTAACTGCTGAGTATGAATCACTTGTTTATTATTTTAATTCTTAGTGCTGTATTGTGTAAAAAACCAGTGGTTTGTTTAAAAACACACAGAAAGCAAAAGTCCACACTTCAGTGAATTTATCTGAGTGGTTCAAGGCATGCTGCAGAAATACTTCCTTTTTTTTCTGACATCTTTCCTTAAATGTTCCTAAAGGGCACTTGCTAAGGGCAGATCACTTTAACTTAACATTATGGTTATGACCCCTTCAAGCAGAATAACTTTTTGTTTTCAACAGTACGTGTTCAGTGTTGCAAGAAGAAATGCAAATGACCTAAAAAAGCTGAGATTTATTCTTATGTCATTTCTCCTAACAGATGAAGATAGTGATTACTTAGCAGAAAGATCAATTGAAGAGGTTTATTATCTCTGGTGTTTGGCTGGAGGAGACTTGGAGAAAGAACTTGTCAACAAGGAAATCATTCGATCAAAGCCACCTGTCTGCACACTCCCCAAGTAAGGATGGGGAAGCACTGGGATGGATGGATGGATGGATGGATGGATGGATGGATGGATGGATGGATGGATGGAGAAGGCTAGTGATTTTGAGAGAACATGTTTAGTTTTAAGACCTATATGTGCACAAAATATTGAAAATGACATTCCTAAACAGCAGGAAATTGTCAATTCCCCTCTAATCCAATTTAAGGTACTACTTGAATGCCTTTTGTCTGTCACCTACCTGATGTTCTTACCGATTTCTGAAGTCTGAAAAGATGCAGGAGAAGTGCAAAATACTGAACTGAAGGTCCCTAAATTTGGCACACTTTCCAATAGCATTAAGTTTTAGTAAGAATGTCTCACTGTGCTTCAACAGCATATTTGTAATTTAATTTAATATGTTGTGTAGCAAATTCTCACATTCTGCATTCCTTTTCATAGAGCAGCAATGCTGTATGGTCAAGCCAGTTATTCAGCACATTAGCTGATTACTTTTTCAAAAAGTGTTTAGTTTTATGGCTTATAATTCTGTAACAGCATTTTAGTCATTACTACTTCTATCTTACTGCTGCACATGTTGAAATTTTATGTAGCATTTTCATGGTTTAACCCTATGATCTGATCTTAGTTAGCGTAATTATGTGCCTATATATCAATTCACAGTTTCTGGGTTTAAAACCACATGAAGTATTTGTACAGCCAAAATGCAATATGGTTTTTTTCATAAAGGGTGGAACTAGATTTTAAAAAGTATTTTGATGTCAAAATTATTTTGAGAGATTGCCTAGTTCTTTGCCCATAGGTGAATGCAGGTGTTTTTGAGTTATGAGGAATAAACATTTTTCATCATATTGTCTATCTTGAAGTGTTAATTTCAAAAATGCAATCTAACTCCATCTTCTAAGTGGTTCTAAGAATGCTAGCTTAATTTCTGAAGATCAGTTTCATGTGGTCTGCTTTAAAAATATGAAATAGAAAATTTGTGTATGTTTGTGTATATCTTGGATGCATTTGTATCCTTATATGGACTGCAACAGAATAGGCCTGGGTCAGACTTTTGCTTGGTTTCTTTGTCATTATAGACGATGACTTTCATATGAGGATGATATTTTATTTTTGCTTTTCACAATAAATGGCAGTCCTGGTCTGTGCCAGATCAAGGAATAAAAGGGAATATTAATCCCATATCTCATTGCTCTTCCTTTGTGTGCAAGCCAAAGTTATAGAAAACCTGAAATGTGCCTTTTTAGAACAAAAGCTGTCTGAATAATTTAAGGTGATTGTACATTCCCTTGATAGCAGGTTTCATGCCATGCAGAGTCAATACAGTATACTTCTAAGAGCTAATACTTTGTTTTAAAGAGGAAACTGCTTGATGTAAGAAATATTTTTTTACTAGCTATGTTAGAAAATGACTTGATTTTTTTTCCTCCTTTTTGAAGCTTTTTATTGGAAGATGGTGAGAGCTTTGGGCAAGGACGAGATAGAAGTTCCCTCCTAGATGACACAACTGTGACTTTGTCTCTGTGCCAGCTCCGAAATGTAAGAATAATACTGTGTGCTTGTCCTTATGACTTCACTGCAGAAACATTTGTTTAAAAGGGGTGTGGAAAAGCAGCTCCTACTGCTGTTTCTACAAATAGAAGTGTTACTGATTCCAAGAGAACACTTCTTAGTGTCCGACTTAAATTCTGAGTTATGCTATTAAATTTCTTTGTCTCAAAAGCTTGCTAAATTTGGTTTAGCTTCTGTCCCTCCATCCCTTTTCTGTGTCCCTCCCTTTCTTTTTTTTGTTACCTGCTTTGTTCTGGCATAGTGCAAATAGTTCTGTAGTACCTGATATTCTCCACGATTGTAAAACTAATTGGACAGTGAGTGTCTTCTTGTCTTCTTTAATTGCTGTCTGTAGATGGCTCACGTTATCCAAAGGAAAGATCAACTCAGTTCAGTTTCAACTCATTAAAAGCTTTATACTTAGTGTTGGATACCAAGTTTCCACTAGTTAATTACAAGTCTTTGGAATATATGGCTATGAAACAACTAGTTCAAAAGATCTCTTCAAAACATTTACAAAAATGCTGGAATGCAGTTTTCCTCCATCTTCAGTGGAAAAATCAACATATGGCAACTCATGATTTTGCTTGATTTTAATGATCAGTAACAAGATTTACTGCATATATTGCTGAAGTGTTTTAATTGTTCACGTGTTTGCACATGTAGAGCTTTATTGCTGTAGCATTTATGCTGCACTGTTTGCAGCTTGCTTTTTATAGTAGCAAATGCAATTCTGTCATGGTTTTTGTAAAAAATAAAACCTCAAACTCTTTCTATATGGTTATAGGGATTAGTAGAGAAAGGAAGGTGACTCTTGAAGTCTTGCTCTCTGCTACCTTAATTGTGGGAGCAGTGTGTCAAATACTGTGTAAATATATTTCTTCAGTAGAACTTTGCACTACTTCACACAAATGCATGAAGACAGACCAAAGAACTGGGATCTTTTCTGTGCTTGGTTGGTGGGGTTTGCAAGGTTGGAGGGAGGTTAACTGTATGCACCAATTATTTTTAATATAATACATACTGCAGCTCCTAGTATTTTTCCTACAAAAGGTATTTTTCAGGCTTTTTTAAGATGTTTTTAATCTTTAGTTTTTAATATTGCTGCCTACTTCTATAAATATAGCAGGAAATAAATATATACTGAAGTTTCATTTGGGGGAAGATGCAAGCCTGAGCCTTGCAGTGTTAGTTGAAATAAATTTTTGACCTTATGCAATTCTTCAAACACCTTTTATAGAGCAGAGCATGATGCTTATAATCAAAAGAGGAGCAGTGCTGAATGAACTGAGAATGAACTGTTCTGTCAGTCCCAGGAGGAGCAGGCTGTGTGCAGTATGCCTTCAAGTTAAGGACTGAACTGCAAAACAGCACTGCAGGGGGCATGGTGTTAAAAATCAGTCATGGTGCACCTAAGACATCTGAAAACTTCAGTCAAAAATCCAGGCGTGTTTGTCTGTCACCTTCCCTGACAGTGTCTGTATTTTGTAAAAGAAGCTCAAGTTTATATAACTCTTGAACTGATTTGAAACATAAAACCAAGTTGTGTAGTTGCTTTGCAGCTACTTGGATAGGAATTTCATGTAGAAAAATGAGGAAAAGACAAAGAACTATGTAATAGTATTGATCTATTAATCCATGGTACATAGAGGCTATTTTTTGTGTGGAAATAGGTTTATGGATGAGATGATTTATCTTCAGGCAGGAGTACTTCCATCAGCTCAAAAAGCCTGTATTAGCAAAAGATTTTAGCATGAAAGGCTGTATGTTTGCTGATGGTGACTGAGCTACTGCTTGGGTCTCAAGGCAAGCTACTAAATCTGGCAAATGCTAATTAGTAGTTTTTTATTACACTGAGATCTACACTTGAATTCTGAGCAGCACTCTGATAATGAATTTTTTTCTTCTTCATTTCAGAGACTGAAAGATGTTGGTGGGGAAGCATTTTATCCATTGCTTGAAGATGAGTAAGTGTGTGTTTGTACCTCTATAAGCGACTGAAGTTTGAGTTAATAGTTTTAATTGAGTGGCACACTGCACAGCTAGACACAACTGTCTTCCTTCAAAAAGCAAAACTAACATGTCCTTGTTTGACTATAAAAGTTGAGAGCTGATAAGCACTCTGCACTTGGGGCCCTGATATCAAACTAAGCATCTTAGCCTGTTCCTCTATTCTGGAAGTGAACTCTATGTACTGAATGTTCAGAATTATCCATTTATCCTTATTCCTGACTCAGAAATGCATCGTAGAGTATTCTTTTTTTTTTTTCTTCGGTGATTTGTGTTGCCTGCAGTTTGCTACTACTATCTGAACTTTTTTTTTTTCCCCAGCCAGTCAACTTTACCTCATTCAAACAGTAGCAATGAGCTCTCTGCAGCTGCTAGTCTTCCTCTGATCATCCGGGAGAGAGACACAGAGTACCAGCTGAATAGAATTGTCCTGTTTGACAGGCTGTTGAAGGTATGGATTCTTTGTGATGGCAGATAATTGGATTTGGTCTGTTAATTGAAAGATTTTATAGGACCAAGTAATTGAAAAAGAAGCAGAGATAGTAGAGACCACAGCAGAGAAAAAGTGAAGATGACCCTACGGAAGTATAAGAAGATCAGAAATAAAATTAGAAGAAATAGGTCTTTTCAGTAGTCATGCATATAAAAGTAGATTTTAAAGTATGTGCATGCAAACAGAGCTGCTGCTAATACTGGTCATTTACTCATTAAAATAATTTTGCATTGTTTATTTCATCACAGACTAAGCTAATATAGGTGTAAATATGCCTGTAACATTTCTGGTTTTCCAAGCAGTAAATAATACATCTTCACCATAGCAGTGCCATGTTATAAATATGATGTTTATAGTGGGGGAAGGAATAGCAGTCCCTAATTCACATGTATGCAGAGCTTCTTATTTAAGAATGTGAGAGAGCTAATGCACATGATCACATATAAACTGAAAATGTTTAATAAAACCAGGATGGATACATAGTACCAAAAGAAACATATAACAAAGAAAAAACTTCTAATAAAAATTTGGATTAGTAGATTTATATATCCAGTATATACCAAAGCACATGAATGCATTTATGAGAAAGAGTGGGTATTTTAACATCAAACAATAGTTCTCCATCCAGGCCTTCTAGTTAGGAATTAAATTTACATTTTGTAAAATTTATGTTCACTGTTCAGGCTAACAGCATTTGTCCTTGTGGGAAAAGACTGTCCCAGGATTGGGATTTGAATTGTTTCATTTACATGGTAACATTTTTTGCAGTTAATTTCTTTTTTTTGAAGGCCTACCCATACAAGAAAAACCAAATTTGGAAAGAAGCCAGGGTTGACATCCCTCCTCTTCTGAGAGGTATAACCTGGGCTGCCCTGTTGGGTGTTGAGGTAAGGGGGATGGGAGGACATTTGCAGTCCAGTACTGACTTGGGATAGAGTGGGATAGAAATGGGATTGATAGGGAAGCTGGAATGGATTTAAAGATTTAGCAGGTATAGTTTCTGGAATTTCAAACAAAATTAATCATGAAATTGTGTGATTAAAGGCAATGTTCAGACAAACTTGCTTCTTGCCTCTAATGTTACTTGATTTCAGAGAATGTATATAAACTTGACTGCCTTTAACTTCAATTATGGGATGGAAAAATAATACCCTTACAGCCAAATTCTGATGGATTATTTAAATACATTTGGTAGTTAGCATGTTTTCTGGTTTGATTTTTAATATTTTTGATAAATGCAGTTGCAATCCTTCTCTCCAGTCAGCAATAGTTAGACAAAACAGGATGAAACATATCAAATGTATTTTTCTCACCTACTAATCAGTGCACTTCCAAGAAAGACTGGAGAATAAATGATTCAAATGTAACCCTTTTGGACAAAGGGCTAGTAGGAATGTCCCAGAAATGAGGTCTCCTCTAAGTTCCTCAACTACCAAGCTTTTGCATCTACCTTGCTTGCAATCTGCAGCAGTGTAGCAAAATGATTCTTGTAGATAACAAATTCCAAGTTATTCAGGATGTTCAGCGTTGGATGTGATCTTCTGAGTACTGTGTAATATAACCAACAAAAATGCTGTAAAGGTAGAAAAAACCTGCTGCTTAGGGTTGTAGCTTAGTCTTGGGAGATGAGCCAGTTCTCATGCTTCAGCAGCTTGCCATCTGTACGATACAGGTAGTGTTTCCCTGTCCCATAACACTAAAATGGACTTGATACAGCATGCCTGTCTTGGGATTTATGCAAGGACAGGCTACTTGAGAGTAGTCTATACTGACAATATCAATTAACAGGCAGCTGGACTCAGTGCCTTTACAGAGGTGATGCTGAAAGCCACTTGCCAGTTGCTGAAGTAAGCATTAAATTTAAATTGAGAGCATCTCTTCACTTGAAAATGGAAAACTATCAAGTACATAGCTTTCTGCATAAACAACTGAAAGTCATTGAAGATCATACTGAGAAGGTCACAGAAAGGTTTATATATCACAAATTATAACAGAATAAAGATGGTTTTGTTCAAGTTTAGCTCAGAGTTTTGTGTACTTTGTGAATTGTTTTCAGGAAAAGATTTTGCTGACAAAACTAGTCAACTTCTCCATATCAACATGTACATTGTCATACACACTTATGTGTAAGGGCTTTCTAAACTCAAATATTCTTCTTCCACATTTAGGGGGCCATACAAGCAAAGTATGATGCCATTGATAAAGACACACCGATTCCTACAGACAGACAAGTAAGACTTCCAGTGTTATCAAATATTGTCACTTGAAGATCTTTTCCACAAGTTACAGTCATTTCCCTATTGCAGTAGATGTGGTTGATAATACTAAAAGGGTTCCCCTTGCCCTCTAATTCATGTTGTAGCTATAATCTTGCAAAACAGACAGAACAAGTACTTTCACTCAACTTGTAACGTGGAAAGTGAAATCATCTTTTACTTCATAGTCACTGTTACTGTAGCAGTAGCCAAGTGTAGTGGACAATATTAATGATGTTGTTAAAAATCTTGGGTTTGTTGGATGTTTGTTGTGCCCGTTGGATGTTGTACCAGGTAGTGCTGGGTACCCTGAGATTCTGTAAGGTGAGCTGTGCTTCACAGAAATGGGCTTGTGAGCAATTTCATTCTCCAAGAAGAGAATGTTCTCAAATGCTCTCTTACTAGGCATAAAAAGACATTGTGAGCAACAGCTGTTCCTTTCAGCTAGGTGAAAAAATATTTTCCATCAAATTGGTTATAACATTCTGAGAACTCTGATTTGATTGCCTTTTAGAGCAAGGTGATGTTACAACCTGAAATGAGTCCAGAAGTAAAAAACTAAGTGTAATCTGCTTTCTGCCTTTTTCAAGGGTTAGAACCCTTTTAAAAATATGAATGCAGAAAAATAAATAAAATAATCTCTATTTTTAAACTTTGTCAGGGTTCTTAGGTCCCCTGTCAACTTTGGTTTTGAGAGTTATGGAGGAAGCAGATCGTGTTTAGGATGGTGGTCTGACCTACATTCTTTGGCTGACTTCTTCCTCTTAAGTGTTCCAAGATTGCTGTAGTACTACCCCACTTATCCCAGTCTCTCTTTATATCACATGCTTGGCTGTGGTGCAGATTGAAGTTGATATTCCTCGTTGCCATCAATATGATGAATTGCTGTCATCACCAGAAGGTCATGCAAAGTTTAGACGTGTATTGAAGGCCTGGGTCGTTTCCCATCCTGATTTGGTGTACTGGCAAGGTGAGTTTGACTGGTTGGCAAGGTCAGATAATTAAATGGAAAGCTATGACTGACTTAAGTACCTCCCTCTCTTCTCCCCCACATTTTTGAATGCTTTCCATTTTGTTTGCTTTGAAGAATTAATCTATGGGTTATCGCAAATTTATATCCCAATAATTTATATTTAATTTATAATGCAAAATTGCCTCACTCTGTTACATATTTACTCTTCTTCAGTTTCAGCCACTTTATTTTAAAAAAAAAAATTTGTTGCTTACTGTTCAGTTCCAAGATAAAACCACAAATGTTACTGAGTGACTTCTTGGAATAGTAGTTGGAATTTCTTGGAAGCCTTGGCAGAATAATCAATTCAGCATTATAGTCTGACAATTTGAAATCCTCTGTTTTCATGCATTGATTTCACAGTTGTTCTCAACATTACATGTGAAGCCCTGACAATGCAGAATTATAATCAATATCAAGTATGGAATTTTTCACTATAAATTAATTACTTTTTCCTTTGCATTCAAATAAATGAGGTCTTTATGCTGTTTCTTCATGGTTCTTCTCTTCTTAGGTCTTGACTCTCTTTGTGCACCATTTTTGTACTTGAATTTTAACAATGAAGGTGAGTACCTTTTTCTGCTGGGAGTGAAGGGGAAGCACAGTCTGTCATCTGTATCTAGTTGCAGACAGATGTGTGCACCCACTTATAGATGGAAAGTTTCTGTAGCTACAAAGGAATTTTAAAGCTCTTGTTGCCACAAGTCAAAAGAAATGGTTGTGTTTCGAAAACTGCATGTGCTTTACTGTTCTTCAAGCAGAGGTTCCAATCCTGTGTTTATTGCCAAGTAGAATAATGATATATAATAAAAAGCACAAATAACCTTGAATGCAAAAAAAAAAACAAAACAAGAAATGCTGCTCTAGTACTTGGGGTTTTTTTGAGTCAAGCTGTAGTTCAGCCTTGTTTAAGGTGAATGTATGGTTTGTTAACCTAAGTGTTAATCTATCAGACTAGCTTTATTCAAAAAAGCTGATGATAGTTTTAAATGCCTGAAAGTTTGACAGATCAGCTTTGGATATGTGGCCTTTAACTTCTAAGAATGTGATTAGTTCAGAACAGCTCTAGTTCAATCTTTTATTCTCTTCTCCTAGTTTCTTAGGACAGTGACTCCTATTATGCCCACTGTGCATACATACATACATATTTTTGTATATAGATTGATTTAAGTATTCATGCTTATTATCTGCTCAGTAATGAACTTTAGGTGTAATTACCTTTCTACCTCTGTCATTGCATCCATTTTTCTAATTCTTTCAGCTCTAGCATATGCTTGCATGTCAGCTTTTATCCCAAAGTATTTGTACAACTTCTTTCTGAAGGATAATTCTCATGTTATTCAAGGTAAGTCAGTCCCTTTATTTTTTTGTAGTTCTAAGGGAAGCAGAATTATTTCTGGATATATAAATACACTTTTTCAAGGGATTGCAAAATTGGTACAAGAAAACTACAACAAAATTAGAAACAAAATAAATGGGTAAAGATTCAGGCAGGAGAAAAAACCCTAATATGTGTGCACACACAAGCATGTTCTATGTCAAATCCAAGGTAAGAGTCAGTTGGTCCTGCAAAGTTGTAAAAGCAGTAAATAGTCTTTGTAGTGTTATATTGTAAAGACTTAGTCTTCAGGTGATCAAAACTGTTATAAGAGCTATTTTGACAATGGGGAAAAAATGAAGAGGAACAGTACAAACAAATGGAAGTTATGGTATTCAGGGAAATAGGGATTTGAGAGGAATTTCTTATTGAGTGGAAGATAATGTCATTCAGTGCAGGACAGGACTTGGAAAACCCTGAGGAATAATGTTCCATAGTTGAACCTTCAACAACTCAGAGGAATTAAAACAATAGCTAGGCATGTCTGTTCTATGTGAAAATTAATTTTAAATTTCATGGGAACTTGAAAAAGGAATTGCCTAGACCTCAAAAACCACCTTTGCACAGTCTGTGTTGGGAAGGTAATTTGTCTTGCAGGCAGTTTTTAAAAACCAAAAGAAGCCATTTGGAAAGCCATCAGTAGTTTAAAAAAAAGGTGGTAATGAACATTTTTAATTGCAAGTAGTTATAAGTGTTGAATACTGGGTTTCAGCATGGCTTGCTGTCCTCATATTTCTTTTAAAGGAGTTCTTTTGTATATTATTTGTGAAACTCAACAACTTTGAACAGTGCCTGTCATCTTTTGTCTTCAAAAAAGGAAATTAAGAACCAATCAACAAAACTAGACATAAAAACATTTACATATTAGATTTTGGGAGAGCACTAATGTAAGGAGAGAATTCAGTGGTTAGGAGAGTTTATGCTTGAAAGACAATGGGCAAGAGGTGTTACAAACTGATAAAAATAATAGTTTGGAAAAATTATTCTGCAGAATGTGTTTGCATCCTTTTGTCTGTAAAGAAACATTGCTTGCAGTACAGGTCTAAAGATGAAAAGAGTAAGTATGCTCCACTGGAGACAGCCACTTCAGACTTTAGATTAATAGCTTGGTAAAGGCTTCTCTCAAGGGGGTATACTCTTCCATAAAATAATACTTTTGCTGTCCAGGGTTTCCTGATGTTATTCCTAAGAAATATAGATCAGTAGGATTCTATGAACAAAAGTAGTGTAGGCGTTCCTGAGTTCCTGTTGGACATCTGGCATCATCAAGGACTCAGGGAGAATGAACCCTTTAGGATTCTTTCAGTATCCTAGTTAATCCTTTCTAGGGTTGTATGTCAAACACCAGTGTGTAAATACAGGTTTAAAGGAAAATTCTGTGTCATTTCTCTGCTTTATTGAGTTGGAAGTGTTTAGAATGTGTCATTTAACTGTCCACTGCAATTTTAGCTTCTCTGTGTATTCTGTGTAGGGTTAGATGGAAAGAATCTTTCAAACTTCGAAGCTCAAAAAACTGATTTCTGAACTTGTCACAGTGAAGACAGGTGTTTTTTCTAATCTTGTCAGGTGTATTTCCTTACATGAAACAGGAATCAAGAGCAGTTAGAGGGATTTTGGTATGGAATGCCCAATTATGTAAAGCAGAAATTAATATCATAAAATTCCAACCAATTTCAGTTGACTGTTTTTGTGAAGATGTCTGTGTTTTCAAGAGACCTTTAATTAGCCATGTAATCCCACACCGTAATTATATTTCATGAGACTGTCTAGTCAAATAAAGATGGAACTTATCAACCTGTGGTATATCCATAGGGAACAATAAGGGGCACAAATCTTCATTGTTAAAATAAATGTGCTTCAGGGAAGCTAATTAGGAAGTGGTTCTCATCAGCAAATGGCTGAATGTGTAGGAGGAATGTATAGGATTACTGGTTTGCTATACCTGATTTGAGAGTACTGTCTGTTTCATAAAATAAAACTGATGCAAGATGCACTTTTTTTAAATGATTGTCATGTTGGGTGGTATGAATTTAAAGCATGGATTTGGTTTGCATGTGAATAAATTTGGCTGGAAACAGAGACAAACATGAGATGTGAGTAGCTCCAAAGCAGTCTGGCCTTGGTGGCACAAAACTCCTTGTGGGTTTGTTTTCCCACTTAACTCCCCAGCTGAATGTTACCAAGGCAGCTGTGGCAGAATGAAGTATCAGAGTGGAGAGGTTGGCCCTCTTAAGATGTCAGAAACCTCCTAAGAGATTGAGTGTGCTCGAAGCAAAAAAGTTGTGCAATTCTGAAGTAGGTGGAAGAAGTCCTAAGTTTTTTTATTTCAACTTACCTTGGAGAATTAGGCATCCTTTCAAGTATATTTTGCAGTAGGACTATGGCTTGTTTCCCTAGTGTTCATACACTGAGAGCATTGTTTAATCAGTCCTACTGAGGCAAAATCAGCTTTTAAAATTTCTAGTCCAAAGACTACCAAGTGATCACTTTTACCAAGTGATCTTAACTTGGTGGCTTAACCTGAGAGGAGTTAACTTGAGTGCAGGTAAAGAATATTTAAGTAATACAGGGGTCTATAAACATTTGAGTGTTTAGGCCCACTTATGTTCTTAAAGCTGTCTATGTATGGAATTTTCCCAGCAGATTCTTTGTGTCTTAGCAGTGGAATTGGAATTTAATTTTGCCACTTCAAGGATGAAGACAAACAGCACTAAGGAGTTATTTGTTCTCCCCAAGAGAGACAGTAGTGGCCTACAATAGACTTTGAAGGAAGCAATGGCAACTCCAGATGGCTAATTTATGGAGCTGTGTGGACTTGGTGTATGGGGGTTTATATTTAGGGACAGTAGTCTGTGGAGCATTATGATGTCAGCATGTTCCTGCCTGGGAGCAGGGTTCATAATCTCTGTCTTCCTCCCCTGGACTAGCTGTCTGGGTCCTAATTACTCTGTTCTTGTGAGCATGGAGGAAGAGGAATTGCCATCTGTTACAAAATTGCAGTGTTATTGCCTCTTCATCTTCCTTCTAACAAAGCCTATGACAGTGTGAACAAAACTGGGAGAGGGGCAGAACAGAGAGAGAAATCTGTCAGTGTCTGTATTCTGCTGTCTGCTCCTCTTCCAGTTAAAAGCAAATGTTATTTAGACAACTTAATGAAATTATACCCATCAAGCCTAACATGCCAGGCTGAAGATGTCATAAATTTTATCTTTTATAGGAAGCATTTCTCCTTGTCAGTTAAAAAAGCAAAGCAAACAAACAAAACTCACAAAAAACCCCCACAAAATCACCAAAAAAAACCCAAATCCAAAACCAAACAAAAACTCCCCAAAACACCCAACCAGACAAATGAAGATGTTATTTGATCATGGAACTGACACACTTATAGCCCCATTACTTTAAAACCTCAGCTTCCAGATTACTAATTTAACTTTGTAGAAAAGAAACCACACAGAATATTATTTAAATAGAATAAACTTTGTGTATCACTAAAACGGTTTGGGTCTTAAAATCCATGGAACAGTCTTGTTCTAACTTGCTTCTATTTTGTGACTCAGATTCATACTGAAACATATTTTAACTTTGCATGTCGAACACAGATCACAACCAAAGTGCAGCCCAAGTAAACAATTGCTAAAAATCCAAATTGAGAAGTACTAAGAAAGAGAAATGAAATGTTTCTTCCTCTGTATTGATGTAGTATTGATATAATGGTGACAAGGACAGTGGTGATGTTCATTTGCTGTTTTATTGTAGGCTTAAATCAGTGATTTTCCTTTCCTAGAGCTCTGTTGTGAACTAGCAGCATGTGGTGGCTTGTGTTTCTAACAGTCTTGGATTTGTCATTTCAGAATACCTGACGGTGTTTTCCCAGATGATTGCATTCCATGATCCAGAGCTGAGTAACCACCTTAATGAAATTGGCTTTATTCCAGATGTAAGTGCTAAGGGTCCTTATAAGTATTATTCAAAGAAATTAAAAAATGGAAAATGAGGGCAACTGGGATGAGATGCCTTTCCAGACTGTTTCAATAGTACTTCAGCAGTTTTATGCTTTTGTTGGAAAAAAGTCTGTAAGATGGAGAAAAAGGAAAACTGAGAACACAGACAAAATAGAGTAGAGAGAGCATGCTATGCTGGAAAAAGAAAAACAAGGCCTTCTTTAGAACCTCACTTTTAGCTATCAGTGTAAACAGTAAAAATTTCCTCCTTTTTTTAGAGAGGTGTGTATAGTCCAGAAAGCCAAGATAAAGGTCAAAATGTCTGCCTACTATAGGATTATTGAATTTTTTTACTGATGTTTCTGTAAAGTAGATTTAGGCAAGGCTATAGAGATAACATTGTTAATTGATAGGATCTGTGTCATTCTATATTTGGCATTTAGAAATCTGGTAATCACAGATTGGTCTTAAAACAGATGATGACTGAGAGGTTCAAAATGGAAGAAAGAGACAAGTGAGGAGATGTTGATGTAGAAATACAAATTTCATAAATAAGATATTTATATGCATTGCTTCTGTAAGCTATATAAAGCTTACTTTATCAGAAAAGCCTTATGCTTATTAGGAAATGTAACTGGGAGCAGCAAGGCCAAGCCTTTGACAGTCATTTGTTGTACACGAGTGAATTTTTAGGTCTTTAGGACTGGCAGGTCCTCATTATCACTATTTACAAAGATTGTAATGGAAAAGTATATACTTCATTTGTAGAAGTGTTTTTAATGTAATAATGTTGTTTGACTGATACAAGTCTAAAAATACTGTGGTGTTAAAATGAGCAGAAGAGAAAGCCAGTGTATTGCATTATAAAGAGAAAAGTTTGAGAAGGCCACATGCACTGCAGATGACCCACATCTGAAGGGGGCAGGTGGGAGGAAGGTGAAAGAAAAGTGAGGACAGTAGAGAACATTCATTTGTAGAAAACCTAAATATTTGGGTATATGAAGGGCAAGGGTAATTGCAACATTTAAGCTCCTGAGGGAGGATCAATTTTGCAGCATCACGATGTAAATGCACTTCATGTTTATTTGTTAAAAGCTGCAGATGACCAAAGCAATTCCTCTGAGTATTTTGTCCAGGATACTAGTTCCCACCGAAGATGTAATTTCCCTGGCCACCTTACAAGTCCTTATTTAGGCTACTAATTTTCATGAGAGCTCTGTAGCAGCCCATCTTGTTTCTTAGCTGATGTTTCAGCAGCTCCTAATGTCTGCTTATGCAGTCAAAATTCTTCACTGAAAACTTCCAAGGTACAAGACAGAATAGTTTAAAATCACATGTTTTGTTATCTTTTAGTTTGTATTGTGCTAGTCGTTGGAGAGCAACTTGAGCCTTGTCTCTTATTATTACAATCTATAGGTGAACAGGTAGTATAGTAAATAATTGCAATTGGAGAGCAACGTGAGCCTTGTCTCTTAATATTGCAATCTATAGATGAACAGGTAGTATAGTAAATAATTGCAAAACAGAGGTATATTTTTTCAAAAAACTCTTTCTTTGAATACAAATGCTAGTTCTAAAATTAAAATTAACCTATAAAGAGGCATTGTCCTTTCTAAATTCTCAGTCTGTTTTGGGGGGTTTGGTTTCTTTTATAAGTAAAAGTTGTTCTGCCTTTTAGATTAGTGAGAGGTGGTTTTGTTTTTTTTCACCTGTAACGAGGCAGCACAGGATCCATCAAGGTGAAGGATATACACTGTAGTAATGAGATGTGAACCAGAGTTT